TGTTTGGCTCAGAGGAGCCGGAGTTCACATCGCTGGAGACGACTCCAACAGAGTTCAGAAAATATTTCGAGAGAATGTCTGCCGATATTGACATTGAACCAAGAAAGAGCGAATCGCCTGGGTCAAACTTGTGGCATCTTTCGGGGAAAGCCGAACCAGCTCATGCAGGTGAATCGGGGTACAAAGAGCTGACCCTTGGAGTTCCTACATCAATCCTGCGGTATTTTTCCCTAGTGCGGATCTGGGCTCCATGGCTCGGTCCAAGACACGGACAAGGGAAGTTTGAATTGTCTGAAGAAGCCATACTGTGCTCGTTTCTGCGGACTGACGGAGTACACATTGTGCTTCTTGGGTTGTCTGGGACGGATAATGTCTTGACCACTTTTGGATCAGGCGAAAATGGGGAAGTAATTGTCAAATCTCTCAGTGACAATCCAGAGCCGTCTACATTCCAGATACTAGCATCAGCGGCGGAGGATTATGAAGTCGCAATGAGCGCAATCGTATACGAAGCTCGCAAGCTCGTAAGACCATATGCCGAGCAAGAGGCATCTGATCACAAGCGGGCACCGGTTTCGCCTCCACCGGACGATATAGTGGTGGTAGAAAAGGACGTGAAGGCACAGTGGATGGCTGAGTGGTATGACGGCTTAACCTACTGCACTTGGAACGGACTGGGTCAGGATTTGACAGAAGAGAAGATCCTTCGCGGTCTTGACTCACTGAAGTCTCATGGAATCCAGATCGCTAATTTGATCATTGACGACAACTGGCAAACCCTGGACGAGGCCGACTCACAATTTAAGAGGGGATGGAGGCAGTTTGAAGGAAATCCAGCTGCCTTTCCCAAAGGCTTCAAGCAGACCATTGAAGCCATTCGTCAAAAGCATCCCAACGTCGAACACATCGCAGTTTGGCATGCAATACTCGGGTATTGGGGAGGCATTTCATCGGAGGGTGAACTTGCCAAGACATACAAGACAAAAAGAGTAGAGATCAAAGTGCCTGCTGTGGGAGGAGCTATCTCGCATGCGTTTGAGAATGGCTCGGTGCTGGCAATTGACCCAGATGATGTCCAGAAATTCTACGACGACTTCTACAGATATCTTGCCTCCATTGGAGTTGACTCTGTCAAGGCAGACGCCCAGTTCTTCCTCGATTTGATCAAAGACCCAGAGGACCGGAGAAGATTCATCACCGCTTACCAGGATGCATGGTCCATCTCCACGTTGAGACACTTCAGCTCAAGGGCTATATCCTGCATGTCAATGTTCCCACAAGCCATTTTCCACTCACAGCTCCCAACGACCAAGCCTACTATTCCTCTGCGAAACTCAGACGACTTCTTCCCTAATATCGAGTCATCCCATCCATGGCACATCTTCTGCAACGCCCACAACGCCCTGCTGACCCGCTACCTGAACGTCGTCCCCGACTGGGACATGTTCCAAACAAGCCACCCGTACGCCGGTTTTCACGCCGCGGCACGTTGCATCTCCGGAGGGCCAGTATACATCACGGATGAACCCGGCAAGCACGACGTGTCTCTCATTGACCAAATGACTGCCAAAACCATACACGACGGAACCGTAATTCTCCGCCCAAGCTTAATCGGTCGTGCCATGGACATCTACCACGACTATAACGAAGGCCACATAGTGCGCGTAGGTACATATACAGGCTGGGCCCGAACCGGCAGCGGCATCCTAGGTCTCTTCAACATCTCCACTGCCGAGAAATCCACCATAACCCACCTCCTCGACTTCCCAGGAATCCACCAGGACTCCCAAGGCGACTACATCATCCGCGCCCACACCAGCGGCATGATTGCCTCGGACCTGCGCGTCCCAGACACGGAATCATCCCTAGTCACGGTAACTCTGCCCCCGAAGGGCTGGGAAATCCTAACAACATACCCAACTTACACCTTCGACCTGAAGGCCAAGAAACGTGCCTCCACAACATCCCCAGAGACGAAAGTAGCAGTCTTAGGCCTAATCGGAAAAATGACCGGCGCCGCAGCAACCATCTTCTCCGATATCTACGTTGAAGATAACGGCCGACTGCGATTCGACATCAGTCTGAAGGCTTTGGGAATACTGGGGATCTATTTCTCCGATTTGCCGGACTGGAGTGTTGATGACAACTTCATGGTCATGATACTGGGGAGACCTGTACCGAAGAAGACTGTCTGGAAGGAAGGTGGTGATGAGGGGAGAGTGGTGGCAGTGGACATCCTGTCTGCGTGGAAGGAGATGGGGTTGAAGGCTGGGTGGAGCAATGATGTCCTTGTTGAGGTGTTTGTTGGTTGAAACATCATTCATAGAGGGATGTGGCTGATGAAATGGGTACTGCTTCGGAGGCGTTATTCCTTTTAGAAGGTTCGAGTCAGTGGATATTAGTACAGGTATAGTAAAGTAAGAACAGACTCAGTATATACAAATATTCGCCAAGCAAGACGATTTAATAAGAGTGGTTGTTCTGAGCAAAGTATCCAAGGAAGCGAATTTACTACTCAGTAATAAGCTACTGGTGGCATATTGAACCCCTAGGAGCAACATTGACCAAAACGCTAGATGGGGATTAAGAATGTCCGTGAAAAATTTACATGAACTCAAACCTTTCATATCTTGATACAACACACATATATAACATTCTGCCATTATTCGTACGACAATTATATCACAAAAAAAAATAACAACAAGCTCCTTAAGACGCAGGATCAGTCAGATCGCAACAATTTTCTCCCACACCACAACTACACCCCCGCACCCTCCCTCCACTACTACCTCCTCACACCCCCCCCCAAGACAAGGAAAACCACCTAATAATCCCCCGTCGGCAACCCCCTAATCGGCACATACTGGCCATGAAACCCAAACGCCACGGGTCCAGCCACCCTCGCCCTCCCCAACTCGACCAGACTCCTCGCATCCAAACAAAGCAGATAACTCTTCCCCGTCAACCCATCGAACACCACACTAAGCAACACCCCATCATCCTCATCCTCATCCCCCTCCACAGCATCCGGATTCGGAACGAAGATCGGTTCCCCGGGGGACTGGGCATGATGGGACCATACCTTCGTTTCTCCGGAGATATTATCGAACTTGATGATGCTGTCGAAGAGCGTGGATTTTCCTGTGTCTGCAACGGCGTACATGTACCGGTGTTTGCGGGTTACGTAGGCCGGGTGCATGGTGGGGAGTTCGGGGGAGAAGGGTTTGCAGGAGGTAGATTCGAGGAGGGCTGATGAAGGTTCTTGGGATTCAGGGTTTGGTGTTATTGATGATGGTGATGATGGGATAGTAGGGAGTCGGAAGCGGGAGACAGATGAGCAAGTCGCGTCTGTTCTGGGCTTGGCGTGGGGAGAGTCGGAGAGGAGGAACTCGTAGTAGAGTTTGTGCATGAAGTCCGCGGTGTCGAAGGTGACGAGTTCGGCGATGATGTCGGTGTCGCCATTCTGGGTTGTTTCCTGCCACGCGTTGATGGTGTGGAAGCAGAAGAATGGTCGGCTGGTGTATGTGGCTACCAGACCTCGTTCGCCGGTGCGGTCGACGACGTACCAAGTTGCTGGGAGGGAGGGGTCGAAGGGTTTGATGGCGTCGAGGAAGCTCGTGGAGGTGGAACCAAAGTCGGCGGGGGAGATGTGGGCGTTCCAGACGCAGAGGACGACGTAGTCTGCTGTGATGAGGAGGGAGTGCAGGTAGGCTGGGGTTGCGGGGAAGGATGCTAGGATGGTGGTTTCGCCGGTTGATGCGGAGGTGCGGAAGATGCGGTAGGTATTGACCGGGCCTAACTCCAGGTTATAGTTGAAGATGTCGCCGGTCTTGGGGTCGGAGCGGGCGTGTGCGGCTGTGGCGGGACCTTTCAGGTCGGGGTGGAGGTTCTGCTGGCTGGCGAGGGTGATGGGTTCTAGGGTCTCTGGATCGAGCTGCTTGAAGGCGTTGAAGTCGGTTTTTGCGTGCAGGGTTTTGATCCCGGAAGATGTGTCCCAGCGGTGACTGTTGGCGGAATTATCGGCGAGGCCTGGCATGTTGATGCTCAGAGTGACTCCGACATTTGCGGTCGTGGCAGTGGGTTTCTCTTCGGGTTCGTACTCCGTCTGGACCTTTTGGTATACGACCTTGCAGGGATCTCGCTTTTGGCCGAAGCTGAGTTTGTGCATCTCGCCGGTCTGTCTTACCTGCTCGATAAGAGCGTCGGTGGAGAAACGGGAGTTGTACAAGACGCGCACTGATGGGTGGGTGTTGTCAGGGGCTAGGAGCTGGAATCGGTGGGTTTCACTGAAGCCATCGAACCAGTGACTGGCGCGAAAGGTCTCTCCATTGACGGTGTCGACCTTGTATTTGCCTGGTCCGGTGCGATAGAGGATACCAGCTGCGTAGGCGGGAATCTGGCCTTCAACGGGGAGCTCGATAGGTGTTTTCTCCTCGTAGTTGGCGTCGAACTGTGAGATCGACTATTAGTGAAAGAAGATAGGAGTGTCGATGAGGAAGACTTACGCCTTTGACATTAGGCCAATTGTTGAAGTGGTCTTTAGTGCGACTTTCCTGTATGGCGGACATTGTGTGAGCAAAGCGCTGAGAATGCTGTGTGTGGGGTAAATTGAAGGTGGTTTCTGTTGGAGTGATTGATGATGAATCCGAGAAGAATGAGAGGTGGGTTCACGTACTATTTATCTGCTTGACTCTAGCGAGGAGTGGGTTGTGAGGTGGCTATGGTCAACTTTGTCGCAGCTCAAAGAAATGGCTCGAGCACAGCGGTGGGGGAATTCCGCCGGAGTTGGAGCTGTCATATCACCGTCGTGCTTACGGTGGAGGCTTGCCTGTCTCGCAGTGGTATCCAAAAAAAAAAATAACTTGTCTGACCTGCATGCGGTATTATCCATTTTTCACACGCCTGAAAAAATTCATACGCTGATGATAGCCACAAGCCCGCAATAAGCGCAAGAGACTAAGTCCTTATATACAGTCTAATGATAGTAGTGATATAAACTGCCCTGCCATGCTCTATTCGCTGGTGTTCCCAAACTCCAAGTAGATGGCTTATTCCTCGAAGTACCATACCTTTCTTTGATGCTCCTGTTCGTAAAGCGGCTGTGTAATTTCATCCCTCTGTTTGGACGCCATCGCGTCGTGCGCGAGCCTTCAGACGAGTCTGAAGGTTTGGATAGTAAGGCTGGAGCCCTAGATCCCATGTGGGAAGCGCCAAATCAGGTATTGAGTTTATGGGTTCGGGCTGCGATTGGTTGAAAGTCGGCGAAGGGGTGTGCTGGTTGCGCGGAGCCCCCCCGCTATCCTGTAGTCGCAAGTAAGTGCACGTTTTCCTCCGCGTGGCGCATTCTAAGCATGGCTGCCCCCCATCACAGGATTTCTTTAGCCTGGCGCAGACATCACATGCATGCCGTTCTTTGCCGCCTATTCGAGGTCCTGGGATGGCCTGGCCGGCATGTATGCGGGCAGAACAAGACTTCCAGTGTCGCCGCAAGACATCTCTTTGACAAGCCTCCAACGTCAGTTCATGCATTGATCCATCATGCATAGCATACACACCCTCGTTTGTAATGAGAGCCGCAAAATCCACATCTGAAAGGCTTCTGTGAGCTATCTGAGCGCCATTCATCAGTACCACCCACGGTCCTTGCTTTGCTTCCAAAAAGTGTGTATATCATACGGGTAGCTATATGTCGCTTGTGATGGTCTAAGCGATGAAAGATTGCTGAGCAAAATTGACAACTCCATACGCCATCCATGGCTCGGTCGTCGGTAGAGGCCTGCATAGTTGTGTAGCCCACGAGGCTGGCGGCAAATCAGCAACGCACTGTTGGTTGTAGCTGCATACACTAGGCAGAAATGACTGGAACCATGCGGGGTCAGAGCATTCGATGACCGCTTGCAACTGAGCTTGGAGCGGGAATCATCCACACTGGCGGGATCGGGACCGTTGATCTCATGAGATGAGAAAAGGAACGAAGAAAATCCAGGAGCGGAGCTGAGAAGGGCTCCGAGCGAGATGCCCCTCCCGAGTCAGCAATAAGCAGAGTGGAGGAATCCCGCAGGCTACCGAGCCAGTGCGGATTAGTGAGGCGGAGGTGGAGGTGGAGGTAAGCCGAAAGATTGGAAACCCCGGCGGCATTCCCCCGCAGACCCGAGGCCGATTGGCCACATCGCGCCTCAGCCACCATGGTTTGTTCCCTGGCTAGCGAATCCAGTCTCACGTGGTATATGTATTTCTTGCTAACATGTATCGACTCCCGATACCATATGGTTCAGTCCAGATAGTTCCGTCTATACTGGCATCGAGGAGCCATCCGTGGCAGATGATATCGTCATCTCCCTTACGATAGTTTGGCACGGGAAAAGCTATTTTCTTGACGAGCGAGTCGAACTCAACACTTTCCTCGTCTTTGGAATAGTATCTCTGCTTTCCCAACTGTCGTGACTTGTAGCACTGAAAGAGTTGCCGTACAAAGCCTTTGTCATCCCCGAGATGGTCCTTGCCATTAACCATCTCAAACTCATCGGCTGAATCTGCAATCAGGAGCCGTTCGAGTGAGGGCAAGAAGTCAGTTGACTGCCAGCCAGACCGAACATCGCGATCCAAGCCAGAAGGTGCAACAAGGACCAGGTGTGTCAAGTTCGAACACCGGCGGAGTCCCCCGATGAATTGCATGGATGTGACATCAACTTCGCACAGGGCAAGACGGCGCAGACGAGGCCATAGTGACCACACCGCTGGTTCATAATCCGCCTCCTCCAGCTGGTCGGAAGGGGTCTCCCAAATGTAGGGTAGCTTTTGCGTATCAAGGCAAAGGTCGTCTGCAGCTGAACAGAATTCCTCTAATAGCGTCAAGCGCTTGAACGCTTCGCGTAGCATGGGGCGCACCTCCAACTCGGGGATTGACGGGTTATAGAAGCGCAGGGGTAAATCAATCACCAGCCTGGTCAAGCGGTGACAAAGGTGAAACGAGAGCGTTTCGATATCTCTCGCAACCGGGGGCCTATCTGGCTCATCCAAAACCAGTACAAGGCCAGCTGCAGTACTTTTCTGTACTTGTGCCCCCGTATCATTTGGCCTTCGGTTGACAAGTTCTGGTGGCTCACATTCGAGCAGTTGCCCCAATAACCATTCATCGTCAATAAGAAGACAGTGATTGATGAGAAGTCGTCTTGCGATCTGGCAAGTAAATCGCGAAACCAATGTCAAGTTGACCAAGGTATCGATTTCTCCTGAAAAGTCGGGATACGCCACCGGCGGATCTGGAGGGATGATAGACTCAATAATGAGTTGAATGATTTCGGGCGGAAGACGCATTGGCACCAAGGTGTCCCCGGCGATCTTGTCAGGTAAGTCTCTATGTGAAGCAACGAATGTTTTCTGACTGATATTAGGAGGGCACGATCGACAGAAACAGAGGGGAGAAGTTGTTCAGAGCAAAAGTCGATCTGGGCGAATGTCTCTCATGGATGTTGGCGGGGGGATGCTCGAATCCTTCTGTCCGGCAAGCAAAGTCAACAAACATGTGAAGGGCGTCGTGTTCCCCGGTCGCCGTAAAGCTATATAGGTCAAACTGCGAGCATCGCGGGGGATCCTGGTCATCCAAGGGACTAAATACGCTGCCTAGAATATTCAACTCGGCAGGAAAAATGGCCAGTTGTTGCAAAGATGCCCAGCTTCCTGGAGATCTGCCGGCGTCGTCCAGCCGGCCGATCTTGGCTTAGTGCCGGTACAGGTGATGGCTAAACCCGATCTAGCTTAGCGTTTTATCTCCCCATAGCCACCAGTCCATCTCGTCTTCCCATTTCTATACCAGCTTGTAAATACCTTTCGAACACCACATTCTAGGAGAGGCTTTATTACTATTGTTATTATTATCAATATCATTCAATAGATTATGGGAGAGGTCGTTATCATGGATTATTTCCTGTCACTGCTCCCCAGATATATGCCGCCCAGCTTCCCATCACAAGCAACACCAAACCAGTGAAGCAGCAGATGGAGATTATTCTGCTACGCTGGTAGTGTGTCACCAGATGATGTTCCCGAAGCTTGCCGATGTACTCAGCTCCGGTGGCCAGGCGTCGCTTGCGGGTCCATTGCAGAGGAGCAAGATCCCGACCGATAATGGAACCGATCAGGAGGACGATCGAAACAATCGCGCAACAGATGGCCAGAAAGAGGTAGACCCGCACGGATCGACGGTAGGAATCATTATCAGCATCTTGAAGTGCACCTGTAATGATGCCGATAATAATCGTCATTCTAAAACCATTGGTTAGTCCTTGCATTCTCTATGCTTGTTTGGTTACTAAGGGTTCATACGCGTTATTCATGGTAACCTTTAGTGCGTACGCAGAGCCAAAGACCGACTGATGCCAAAGAGTCGTACGGATGCCGTCGATGATAGATGTTGGACCCAGTGAAACCGCAACCGCGTACATACCGAATGCCGCGGCTGTGCCTTGTTTGGACTCGGCGAAGTTCACCAATACCATGGCGATAAAGATCCCCAAACCGCACACACATACTGTGATAAACCGTGAGTAAACTGTAGCTCAGCAGCATGAGTTAAGTACGTACGAACAGAGGCACGATGGCCGAGGATGTCAGTAAAAACTCCCAAGCAGGGTACAAGGAAGAAACCTGGATTGGTCAGCGAAATCTCTTGTAACGTGAAGATCAGTTGATGACCTACCTGCATATTGGGCTAAAGAGCTGTACCATCCCGCCGTGATCGCATCGACATTGAATCTCTTCTCAGCTAACTCTGTGGCGTTCGAGCTGAAGACACTGGCTGTGCTAGTCTGGAACATCGAGAAGGCGAGAATAGCCCAAAACATCCACGGCAATTGAAACATCTTGCGGAGTTCGAACTTCTTGTTCTTTTCGGTCAGAGTTTCCTGGGTTGCCTTGTCTTCGCGACCACGGAAGTGTTTCTCGCAATAACGATTGAATAGCCAGAAGAAGCAAGTTGCTGCGTTCGTGAAAAGGTTCATGAAGACGGACGTCCAAAAGACCCAAGCAAAATTACCGGTATTCTGTTCAGTGTCAGGAGATTGAAAGACTTTATTGTCGATGGTACGCCTACCTTAGCGATGATGTTTGCTGTTGACTTTCCTACAAACCCTCCAATCTGTATCGGTCAGCTTCATTATGTGCCGTGTGTGGTGATCTGCTTACTTTGCCAATTGCCAGTTCAAAACCAAGGGTCGAGGCGAATCCATTGCTTGGAGGAAACCACGACGAGAACATCTTGTACTGTGCCGTTTGGGTAGCAATGTCACCAAGGGAGAGGATGATCCTTCCGCCGACCATGAACTTGAAGGATCGAACTGTGGTTGCAGCAGCCACCAGTATGGATCCAATGGTGTACACGATATTGCCATAAACAATCATCCCTGTGGCAGGTTAGATGTTGCAAACTGAACGACGAAGGTGTGATATACTTACGAGCACCTCCTACTCTGTCGGTCACAATACCACCCGGTAGAAGAAGGACGGTAGCCATAAAGTTCTCACTGGCTTCAAGTAACGAGAATTGAGTATTCGTGATGTGCATTTGCTACACCGAAGGTCAGTAATATCTCCAGTGTTGAAAGCAGTGTGTAATTACCTTCTTCAAAGTACTCTTCATCGCTCCTACAACGCCGCTGCTCCAGTGGGACCCGAAACTGATGCAGGAAATAACAAACACGGCGATCAGCTTAGCGAGCAACGGTGGCGGCCGTTTTCCATTTGCATTGTCCATTACCGTGTTGTTGTCTGTTGAATGGAACGAGTCTGAAGAGGTAGGCTCTGCAGTTGTAACCTCGGTGACTTTCTTGTCGGTCGCCATATTGCAAGGCGAGGGCAGATAAACCACCAACCAGACGTTATCAGGCTCACGGTTAGTCTGAAGATATAAGTTGGCGGCCTTTGTGCAGTCGTTCCTCTTGCAATAATACTCAGCAAATTTTCCGTCGCACAAGAACAAAAGGCAAGCAGCGAAGAGAGGAATGGATCGACACAGTCTTTATAGGAACGCTAGCAGCAGGGAGCAAGCGTGCTCAGACAAGCTAATTCTTCTCTTCTCACCGATCGGACCTATGGTGCCAAGGAGATCCCATCAGATAAGATGCCCGTGTTTCTCCGACTGTCGCAAAAGCATCCCTTTCGAGGAAAGCCGCCTGTCTTAGGATTGCGATATTAGGCTTGGCATCTGTGAAAACCTCGATTTGCTGGAGCATGTGGTGTGCTAATATTATTGAAGCTGTGGCAGTAGTCTGCTTTCATTGGCCATATCCTGCTCACTGTGACTGATTGATAAGATTGGTGTTGTGATATGACCCACTCCGCGGACAGGTTCCGTAAGGGAAAAGCCATCAAGGGAGGCTAAAACAATGGGTTGCCAAGCCTGTTCCGCTGCTCGATGATAATGGCTAGGTCTCAAGGTCGTAATGGTATCCACTCAGTGTGCGGATCGTCTGGGAAGAGCGCGCCGTCCGCTCATTTTGCCTCTTCCCCCGATGATCAAAACCGGATCCAGACTTCAGGTCTCCGGTCTCAACATGCGTGCCCTGTCTTCAGATTTTATGTGTGTGTTGATGCTTGTCAGTCTTTCAACGCTCGAGCTTTCGCCATTCACGGTTCTTGCCTATGATAGGAGACCCTTCCGCCAAGCTACAAAATTTTAGCCTATTTGACGTGTCCGCCATGTGCACTCGGGATTAAGTATTAAGGTTCGTTGGCATGCTCCCCACCACAGCACGTGGAATCATCAGCAGTCGGAACTTGGAACAAACAGGAGAAGAATCCTCACACGTAATTACTTGCTCAGCTTGCTCGAGTGAATTGTTCCACCTTCCAGGGACCACGTCGTCGGTGGACTCAACCTCCGAATAGTGGGGACAATGACCCAACAAGGATACTTAACTGACCATTAATCGATGAAAATTGGTATTTCTCGTTCAGAAGATGGGTAGTGGTGCCAGGCACTAACATGTTCTTTGTCTGTCCTTCGAATATCCTTCCTGATTCAAGAGGGCTCCTCTTCATCTCCCACCCTCGACAAAGGACAATGTCTGTCGTAGAGTGCCTACTGCTATTAAGGGAATAAACATGACAACATCTGCTGGATAACTCCGAAAAAGTCTTCCACAAACTATATTCACAGATCAGCGGTAACTGAAAATGCATTCTTCACGCCAGAATGAGTCAAAGGCACCGGCAAAACTAATGATGAAGACAGCCCTGCTGATCAGTTCAGAAGTCAGCACTTTGGTTTGTACCGCCATGAAAGACCTGCTGTGAAGATACCTTCCAAGGCCTATATCGTTGCCTACGGGATATTAAGTGAATAAAACTAGACCTCAGCAGGGCTCCGTGAAAGATCCCGCTGTCTACGGGAAGTACCATGAAGAGAATCTCTCCCACGCAGGGTCATCCTCCAAGGGACAACCCACGCCCATTTAAACAGCCTCTAGAAGCTCTGGCGCTAGTTGATAAAGATGCTTATCGTAGCACAACTTTACGCCTCTCAGCCTAGGAACTTCCCATTCCTTCTATAACAGCCGACGCCCCTGTACTTACAATAAAAGCGACTTGCCACTTGAACAATCCTTATCAGTTTCTTTGGGCACCAGAGATATCCCCCCTTCACCATCGAACCCACAGACAAGGAAGGTATCACTCATCATCAAGATGAAGTTCGAACGACCCTCCTCGCCCCTTACCATTGACGGCGGGAGGCTTGTATGTCGCGAACACCTCCTCGTGATCTGCGCTATGTGCTGCGTGGATTACAGCAAGATGAGAGAGGATATCGAAATGTGGGAAGCAGGCGATGACTATAACAACCATATCGTTCAGGACATCCAAATGGAGGAAGCAGGTGATGCTTATAATGACAACAACAGTTCTACCAAAGCCACCAGAAACGAGAGACAACAACACTCGATGAACCCTCGATCAATGGAGATCCATGAGCCACACCGAAAATCCAACAAGAGACATAAGGGCCGACACGGCAAAGAAAGCCGAATTCAGCCCGTTTTCCCCCAGAGATTCCTCCCTCCAACACCAGACGATACTCCACGATCACTCTTCAAACCTCTCGTTTTCGTATCAGAGGGCAGGCCTTCGATACGCCGATTTGTTGGAAGAGAGAACCACTACCAATGCCTGGTATATACAGCTGGCGCTTGCCATGATAATTGGAAGGGGGATGAGAACTATGCCAAAGCTGGCTGGTCATTCGTATACAGACCCCAGAACCCATCACGCAACATTACCGGTGGGGTTGCTGGTCGTCTCGAGTTGATGGGCCCAAGTAGAGTCTATCATCAACAGACGAGAACTCGTGCAGAGCTGCGAGCTGTGATTGCAGCCTTGAAGTATCTGTCTCATGACGGCAATACGTTTGACAGCGTGGTTGTCGCCACGGACTCAAGTTATGTTGTGAACAATGCAACAGTTTGGATCCGTAAATGGCTTACAAGGGATTGGAAAAATGCTGGTGGCAGACCGATCAAGAATAGGGACTTATGGGAGGCGTTGCTGAAGGAGGTGAGGTGTTGCTATGTGCAGGGAAGAGAGGTTCATCTGTGGCACATTGATAGGTTGCTAAATCAGGATGCGGTTAGGCTGGCTAATTGGGCGACCGTGCCTGACTCGGCGCCTATCGAGTTTGTGGAGGACATTTCTCCTTCGTGATGATCGTTCATGTGGGAATTTTATCTACAGTTCTATCGTAAGCCCAGCTTCTTTGGACGTCAGTTTCGGTAACAATACTCTTTATTTTTCTAATGCTCTGCAGCCATCATTGTAGTGTATATAGAAACGACCGGCAATAGCAATCTTCTATTACGATTTTAACCTGGGCTGAGCCCCATCAAGTCCCCCAAAATTTCCTCGGCAATTTCCCGAAGCCTTGGAATCTCAAAGGAAAGCACAGTGGATGGGTTGGACACGGGGTTTGCACCAAACAACTGCTGTTTCGTAAAATGGATGGAGTCATCAATAGGCAGAGGATCGGGCTTAGGAAATACTACCTATTTATCCATGATTAGTAGAAAACCTAACAAAGAAGTAAACAAGTGCTTACCAGCTCACGATTAAGGAGGCTACCCGTGTTCCCGCGGCCCCAGACTTCAATAGTTCCTTTGACCTTATTATTACGCACCTTGCTCCACTTCAAGAGTATAACATATTCCACTTCAACTGTGCCGGCCAACCACAAGTCCTTGTCTATTCGCAGACGCGGAAAACTTTCGGACCATCCTGATTCAATCACAACTGATGGCATTCTATCGGTACGGGCGGAAAGGTATAGATCTGGCTCTTTAGACGAAGATGTGTAAGCACCGATGAATCCTTCAAATCCTAGATCTTTTCGTCAGAACAATTGAGTTGTTAGGTATTCTAAGACTTACTCGTTCCCACACCGAAGGCAATCTTGAGATGTTCACCCTTCTTGACCAAGCCGTCATAGGCCCAATCTAACATAGAGGACATCACCCACTGTTGATGAGCGTCGTGAAGATATGTCGGCATCGCACGAACCCAGAGGGTCTTCTCCAAAGAATTGTAGCTGACTCTAAAGCAGGACATTGTTGGTAAGCTAATATGTATACTTATCTGGGAGCTTACCTAGATGTTCTTCTCTCCACGTCGGGGTGTTCTACCAATGTCCGAGCGACCAGTAAACCGTCTTCGGGCTCAACTTCCTCGTATGTATACTCAGTATACTCAACTATTGATGAGAGAAGCTCGATAATATCAGCGACTATCTCTTGGGCTTCTGGTCTCGGAAGCTTGGCACTGAGGGGTGGCTCCGGAGAAGGAGAGCGTGCAAGAACTCCTGGCGCCATGGTTGACATGTTCTGAATAGATGATAGATGAAACGAGGTTGGGAAGGTGGATGGGAATTTTCTGGGGAGGAAAGGAGGTCAGGGGAGAAGGAAGGTACAGGCTGCCAGATGAGGTGGGAAGTCTGTCATCAATGCCTGGGGCTTAGAAGGAAGTCAAGCACATCACCTAAATGTAACAACTTCGTCATTCACTCTCGGCCCTATGTCAGCAGAAAGAGTCTCTATTAATACAGAGAAGAAAGAAAAATACTGATGTGTATGGTGTGTTCTGTAAACTAATTGTCCAAAGTAATATTCGGGGTATGGGGTGGAACCGATGTACTCGGGGAAGCTTCTCGCGCAGCTGGAGGGTTTGAGCATGTAAGGGTAAAGGCTTAGAGTGGTTCAAATTATGATATTTCACGCAGCGTTGATTGCCATGTCTATGAAGTTACACCCTCTCAACTAAATAATTATCGTGCTCGAGTGCCAAAGAACCCGAGGACGAAGTTATTCACGTTATGATACTATCCTACCTAAGCACTGCAATCCAATAGTTGAGATTCCCTTCCTTGTCCGCCTCATCCAAGAGACTACGATATGTATTCACATAAAATCCTGATAATTCCCTCCTTACTCTCCGGATATCACTGCAACTGATCACTGATATATTGACTGTGCGCTAATTGAATTGCCAATTATTCCATTTACTATGATTATTCATTGCCTGCCTCGGACTCGGGGAGGGATATAAAATGCCACTTTTCCCCTTCGTAATCTTCCTTCTGTATTGTCCCCTCAACTTAAATAACTTGATAAAACATGGGGTATTGGTCTTTAGAATCAAAGAATTGGTCTACCAAGGGAAATTGTCTAGCACTTCCGAAAAGAATTCAATAAGTAGTATATCTAGATACCTAATCGCTGAACCCACGCAAGTTAGGAGTACACCCTGAACTCGCCAAACTACTTTACTGATGTCGATGAAAACATATACCCTCTCGACGAAGCCCAAATTGGGTTTATGAGATGGTCTTCCGTTCATATTACGAGGTTTTATGGGGAGCTCAAGTTTAAACGACGAATATGTTCCAGATGCAAAGAAATAACAGGAGAAGGCGAGTGCAATCTTCCTTCATTAAACTTCCCACTTGGCATTTGCCAACCTTCTGAATATTCTCTCCCTTTCATGCCATCTCCTCCCTTTTTCGCCAATAATGGAATACCAAGTTCAAGACGTTGAACGCACACTAACCTTGCGTAGGTGTATGAATCATCATAATCTCTTGTAGTAGCCCTACGGGCCTATATCGACTGCTCGGTGGGCCGCTGTTGAAAACAGTCTCGGCGTTTTGCTGGCTTCATTTGCCCATTGCTATCCAGCAAGCCCAATGAGCTACCCTTGCTGAACAATTGAATTATGAGCATCCATGGTGCTGTCATTTGGCATACTTGAATCCACTTCTAGTATTTCCTATGGGCCGCTGAGGTTCCTTCGTCTCAGAGTGGTCTTGTTCTTACCTTTACCAGCTGGCCCAATGGGCCGTTGTTTTTGCTGCTGGGCCATTGCATATAGCAACTGTACGTTATCTCATCACGGCGTCGAAAATCCCGTACGTGGCTAATACCAGACCTTTATAGTACATGAACTGGTTATGTTTCCCAAAAGACAATACATGTGTTGCCAAAGGAAAATGCGCAGTTGAAGTGCGTGGGGTGTAGGTTACTACTTTAACCCGTTACTTCCCAGTAGCGGAGAAGTTCGGGCAAAGTCTCGAGAAGCAGAAAGCGATTTTGAACCTTACATCGGTATTACGCAGTTATGGCTCTCAATATTGCCTTGTTAAATATTTCTAACAAGCATATGCTTCCGTGCTATATAGCGGAAGTTCAGCCGGAAATGTCGGCGGCATGTGGATCATAATACTAACCCAAGCAGGATTGTGCACAACGATCTGAAGAGTACAAGGTGAAACTTACGGACGAAACAGCATTATTACGATTATGGTATGCATTCTACATTTATCGCAGTAGAATGACTCTCTTTCATATAAAGGACTAAAGAGGGGCATCCTGGGGGTGTGAGATATCGACAAATCTGGCAATAAACAACCTGCTATCCGACAAGCAAGACAGGCAATCTAATATGCTTTGTAAGGGGATGAAGACCTCAGAGCATAATTATCCATAAGAGTTGCTACTGGCACATAACAACGGGACGATATGATAATATCATCGAAACAGGCGACACCCGCGATTGATTGTTTGAGCGTCGAATCATGAGCAAGACGAGATGACTAGAAAAATACTCAAACTATTCACTGCTAAATGGACTAGGAACTGATGGGATATCTTCTTTAATATACTGAGATGGGAGAAGACGTTGATAATCAGATACCGCCTTGATATTGGTCATCTAACGACGAAGACCCAGAGGCATATCAAAAGAAGAAAAGCCTGAACTAACCCTTTGAAACCTACTGATCTAGCGTTGCTAATTGTCATGAGGGCGCTCAAGATTACCAAAGCTCAATCAACGAATTTGTCAAATGACGGAATCTGGAGATGGGAGCAAAAGGTGGTTCTAGCTGCAACGGATATGGTCACCAGCGACACGAGTGAAATGCTCCTAGAACCCCTTCACATGGCCACATCTTACGGCACAATACCTGGTCCTTAAAGACAGAGACTGCCACTAATTCATCTTACGTGACTCATCGGGGCTATTTGATGATCCAGGGAGTCCTGAAGATATGTCGAGATCACTGGTCACTTTCTACAAGATATCATGGCTCGAACTGCAGCAGTCCTACTTACTAAAGGCCAGCATTGTTCTTTGTACGGCTTCAACTGCCGAACGAAAAAGCTTCAGTCTATACGAAGCCTTATTCGAGAAAGCCACACAATAAGTGAAAGCACTTGCACCAATCCGCTCATTGACTTTCACCTATCAGTCAGAAAAATCATTATGAGCGGAAGCGTAGCCCAGCTCCCCCCTACAGTCACATCGGTCTCTCAGAACGAGGCTTGCCACATGGAGCGGCTCTCCTTCTTTGAGCGACTTCATATCGCTGGAGTCCGTCACATTTCCTAACCATGCAAGACCGAATGCACCCGTCCATTACAGCTTCTATAAGGGAAACCAGAAGTTCTTCCTTCTCGCATGAAATAATAATATTAAGAGAGTTATCAGTGATGAATTAGCTTCAAGTCAATGACAAGGAATAGAGGGGTTCATGACACAAAGGTACAACGTCGAAACTTGATAACCTCAGAATATTTCTGTCAAGGACTCCGAAGTTCGGAAGCTTAGCAAAGGCACGCCCTTATCCAACTCAAGTATATATCCATGGTAACAAACTTTGAGACGACTGTGCACGGCCAATTACCCATCCAGAGATGTTCTATGATCTCATCCTACGCGGATGAAAGAAATCACTGAAAGACTCTCCATGATATAATTCAGCTCAGGGGTTGATGTTATGAGCGTAGATGCTGCAAAGCGGCACCAGATGCCTATTGTGATAGTATGAACATATATTTGTCAGGTGACCAGATAGACGCGGGATATTGTTTTCGGCCTGGCGGTTAGCGTACCTATATTATATTATCGACAACTGGCCCAGGATGTGGTAATAAGCTCGGCCATGTTGCGCATACGTATCTGCAGAGGACGAACTCTTCGGGACATTCTCGGGGTTCCCAGTGGAGGACTTACTGTTACAGTCTGGCTTGTTCTCGAGGGATGCAAATTGTCCTTAATCTAAGGACATGCTGATTCCTACTGACCTCTTCTACTTCGTAAAATATTATCTAATTGAACGACCGAGAACCAGCTATTCATTGATTATAAGTTAGACTCGTAATAAATTAGTGCTACACAATGAATATATCTCATCTAAACAAGTCAGTAGGCGCTGCCGTGTAGCTAATGCCTCCGACTTCTCTAGTCGTCTTTCCAGTTTCAGGCATAAGTGCTTCCAATTAATTCGGGGCGTAGGTGTTTTCACTTCATGGAAGATTTTGGTGCTTATCCGTGAGTGCCAGAAGTCATCGTCCAAGGTTAGATGGAGGGCTCTTTGTACATTGGCAACTGCCTGAGAAGGCAGAAAGCCGAACACCATATTCAACATTTCCCATGGGAGAAGCAGAAGCATAGACTCTCGGACCTTCGGAGTACCTTTCGGTTGAAAAATCCTTCCCTTGTTTCTTGTTCACTTTTGAGTAGTCTGCTCCAGCGCTGTTTTGACACACTCAGTCCGGACCGGGTCTGACACAGCATTAGTTCAACCATTAATCTACTCAACAAAGGCAGCGATATGTTCAAGCATCTTGCACACAAGGAATGGATGTAAAAGATGCATATCTACCTCCAAACCACTCGTCTGGCATCCCACACACCCAACTCCACGAGTTCTCCTCATGCCTCTGTATTAAAGCTAACATGAGAACCTTCAGGTTCTTGTTCGCAATATCGCCTAGCTTGTGGTGCATGAGCAGTTCCCAGCACCGTGCGTGGACCGGATATCCCATCCAGTCATGGGAAATATCGTCTTCATACTCGCTCATGAGGGTGTGACCTTTGTCGTCTACAACCTTAACCATGGGCATGACCACCTTCCGCCTTTGCTCACTTGTGCGAGGTTTGTAGATCAAACCATCAGTCTTCTTCCAAGGTACATAGAAGGTGCCATAGTTTGTTCGTGGTATGGTAACGCCGGATATCTGGCACCCATCGTTTTTAATGTTGTGTAGAACTGGCGGGTATTTATGTCAGTAGCAATCAAACCCTCCAGACAACTTTTCCTCGGCCTCCAGCGGTTTCCCAGGCCATGATGTTGACCTCACGCAGTAAGTACTTATGATGGTAGGTAGCAGGTTAGCTTACTCATTCGACGAGGCATCCACCACCATGACTGTTCGGAGCCATACATATCCAAGTTCTCCAATTTTTGGGCTTTGCAGATACCTTTTTTGGGATGTTTGAAGGTGACATGATTCAGGTCGTGTGCGTCTGGTGA